TATTTCCTATATATCAATTCCTCCGCATGTTCCTCCTCCTCAATATCGTCCTCCTCCTGCTCCTCCTGTGATTCCTCCTCGTCCTCCTCCTCCTCCTCCTCCTCCTCATCATCATCATCATCATCCGAGGGGGTGAGCCTGGCAGACAGGTGCCGCGCCCTCACGCTGGTCTCACCCTATCCTGCTGCCTCTCGTCCCCACCCTTCCCCGCATGTGAGTCTGGGCTGTTGAACAGGCCAGAAAAAACCAGGCAGCTGGTTAAAACATGCATTACAACACATCCACGCTTATAGAATTTAAACAACAGCATTTATAAAGTTTCTGGCAGCACCTTTTGCATGAGTGTCACATAAAACGCATCTCCGTGGTGCGCGGATTTCGCTGCGGAGCCCATGAGCCGATTCTCGTTCTCGTCGGCGTAGGTCCACCTGCACCGTGGATTGCCGAGCCTTCTGCTCTGCATCACACAGTGGATGGCCACATGGTGCTTGAACACCTCATGACCACCGTAGTTCTGCCAATACGTTAAAAATCGGAGGATGCTTTGCTCCATGCTCCTCGCAACAGCGTCAGACAATCGGCGGGGATTGGACTGCACAAGATCGTGAAACTTTGCCATCTCACTGCAGGCTAACCTCAAGAAGCGGCTGTCACCAGTGAACTTGCTAACGTTCTCCTCGCACAAAAGAGGCAGTAGGTGAACTGGGTGTCTGGACTCCGCTGCTTTTGCCTTCAGTCTTGGCTCGCTCACCGTGAGTTGCTTCAACGTGATCGACCTGATTTCGCTCTTTTTGTGCCTGTCCGTGGAGCATGTCTTGTAGTAAGCTCGCATCCTCCTGCGCAGGTGTATCAAGTTGTCACGCACCTTCAAAGATGCGTTTGCCGCCCTACTATTTGCAAAATTGGATTTGATCAGGTGAACGAAAACGGCTGCTACTAAATATTGCGTGATACCCAAATCGAAAATGTGCATCATATCTAGCGACAGCATCCCCAAGTGGAGCCCAGTTACGGCGAACAGCTGCGACACAAAATTAAGTCCTTCATCGCTGTTGTTGTCAAAAAAGTACAATTCGGCTGGGCATGTGACGTGCCTGACCTCGTGGATGTCGGTCACGGCTCCGCCGACCATCAAACGATGGCCTGCTCTGAGACCCAACGCAGGAAACGGTTGAAATAAGCCGTGCCCCTTGTATTGTGTATCCAGCCGCATTGCGCTCAAAAGTCGCCTGAGTTCCGATGGGGTCCGAACGATCACTCGTTTGACGGATGCTGCCGTTGCCGCTCTGTGCCAATCTGCCGTCTTCTCGTTCCAAACACAATGGTTTGGTGTAGGTGGATATCGAAACATGTTGTCCCTGGCGCAATCGCACATGAAGCACGGTGCATTGACCGACCGCCAGTTCTTGAAGCCCAGGGCTGACTGAAATTCGAGCAGGTCAGCCCTCATTTCAACGAGAGCGCCACATACACCAGCGGCAAGATAAAATCCGCGTTGGTTGGCTCTAAGTCCGGAAGAGAATGGCAGGCCATCGGGACCGACAGCGGGGAAAACCCCAGATGCCAGCACGTTGAATGACCACGCGATTATTGCCAACACAGCTTGGAGCGTGCAAAGGCCGTTGCACGCGCATTTGCAAAGATCTTTCTTCCGCAAGGCGCATATGAGATGTCTGCGCTCTGTCGGGCAATTCGACCAATAATATGCAATGAAACTATCTTTTTTTTGTATGGGGTACAGCGTCTGAAAAATACCCCACAGGAAAAGATAGCCGACCCTTGTCCACTGTGACTGCGTGCGAATGGTATTGCGGCGGCAGCATGCCCTCCTCGAGCGCATCCAAGTCGAAATCCTCTGGGTGGGCTGCGTACTCCTCGTGGAAGCAGTCGTGGGGCAGGTGCATGGGGAAGTCTCGGATCGTGCGTTGCTCCTGCTCCCCGTCCCACATGGGGATCTTGGCGAGGTAGAAGGTGTCCTTGCCGCGTGCGCCCAGTGCTTTGCGAAGGTGCTCGGCGTGGCGTGCGTTCTCTGCAGGAAGCGCAAGGTCCTCGACACCGACGGCGCCAGCTCTAGTCGAGTGGAAGCTGATGACGCACACGTCTTTGGATGTCAGGTTGCCGTCCTTGTAGCCCTTGAGCAGATATTCCCTCAGTCCACTGCCGTCGCGAGGCGCATCATCTGCGCCAGGTGCTGCTGCTTGGGGGCGTGGTTGTCCAGAAGTGCTTGTCAGAATTCCAGCTGCCGCTGCTCTGCCAGCCATCCTGCGGTCCAAAGTTGAGCTAACCTTAAGTTGAGATCACTTGGCGTTGCAAGGCGGCAGGCGGATCGTCTGGAAAAGGGCTGCGCGGGAGAGACAAACACAAAACAAAAACAAAAAGCATGTTAAACAGCCCGCGCATGACACGCGCATGCACGCAACTCATCCGACGCGAAGCTGGCAAGCCAAATGTGGATCCATCATGTGCGAAGGGGGTCTCCTGATACCGATTCCCGGTCACTATCTCCCGACTGCCATTCGACTGACGTTCCGCCCTCGACGGACGTTCTGCCAATTGCAGCGCTGCACGTTGCGCCCTCGACGGGCGGCCGATGATACGAGAGAGCCAGAGGTCGTGGAGCGGGAGAGCCATGCACGCACCAACCCGGAACATGCGCTGGATCACATGCGACACTTGCTCATGATACACGTGACTGCAGTCTCACGGGGCATTGGGTTCGAGGCATTCTGAAACCACTTGGTCGCAGCTGCGCAGACAACGAGTGAACGCCGCGACGCCGTGTTATAACTTGCACAATCCTGCTTCGTGAGATCGCCTCGTGGGCACGACCCTCAGGCTCCAACGGCGCAGCAAACATATAGGGGAACAGAGGTGTGACGTGCGCGCGTGCATTATCAGTGCACGCATTTACGTACACATACGCATGCACGTATTCATACACATATATAGTGGCACACATGTATACAACTACATGGACATTCCAATACCCATACCTACCTACCTACCTACCTACATACGTGCATACACACATGCATACATGCATACATACATATTTACTATAATGGCAGATCTGCATACGCATATCGAAAATACCATCCGATGTGCGCATGGTCGGCAGCACGCAGAGAGGTGCTGATGGGGTGCACGAGGGTGGGGAGGCAGCGGGAGTGAATGGGAAATGGTTGCAGGGGCGCTGAAGTGCTATCCATACCTTCTCCGCACATTTTCTCTGTGCCGCGGCAGCTCGCAACGAGTCGGCCGTGGGAACCCCAAGCAATGTTCAAATGCAACGATGCAACATCATGAGCGTTGCCCCCCCCCCTACTTCTTGCTCCGCTTCGACGCCGCCGACGCGCTCTGCTGCACGGGGAGGATGGTGGCGTAGAAATCTTTCGCCTTCAATGGGGGAAAGGGGCGTTCTTTCTGTCCCTGTCTCGACGCCTCACAATGCAATCGACGCTGGCAAGTGCACCTTGGAAGATCAAAGCGCTGCTCGTATGTAGGTAGGTAGGTAGGTATGGGCATGTGAATCTCTATGTAGTTGTATATATGTGCCACTCTATGTGTATGAAAACGTGCATGCGTATGTGTACATACATGCGCGCACTGATAATGCACGCACGCACGTCACACCTCTGTTCCCCTATGTTTGCTGCGCCATGTCTTTGCTGAATTCCTCCTCGTCCTCGTTTGTATCCCACTCCTCTTCGAGCGTCCCTCCCTTCCCCTCCGACTGCCTGGCCCTGCTGGCGCCATCTCACTCGATCCATGCACCCCCTGAGGCTAGCCTCCTCGAGGTACTTGGCACACTCCTCCTTCGAAAGCTCGGCGGTGTCAGACCTGGACAAATGCGAGACATGCGAGATTCGAACCGCGCACTGGGCATCAGTTGAGCACGGCGCGAGGTGCGGGGCCAGAACGGGGCGACAGATAGTCACCGATATTCGGCAAGGGCAGTAGGATGGGATAGGGCGAAGTGGCTTGAATGCACATGCTAGCGGATCCCGATCCATCGTTGCAATCTCCCCCTGCTCTTCCTGAACCCCCTTTCCCCCATGTGTGAACTGTTCTACCTCCGCGCCTCTCCCCCTTCAGCCAGTTGTCGCCCACATGCGCCCCACATTCATCGTCACCTCGGTCAACGCCCTCTACCGCCAGCCCTTGTACATCCCACCCATTCCCCATCGACTTGTTCTGGATATGGTACTTCAAGCTGTCGATCGCGGCCTGGAGTCCCACAACGTTGGTGCTGAGTTCGTCTTGCCAGGGTTGCAGCCAGGGCTGCTCATCGTCCTCCCCATGCATGCGATGAAGCTCCCAGTATCATCCTACATCCTCCCTGCACTCATGCATCCCCATCCTGTTCATCCCCGACAGCCGTGCTCAGTGCATCAAGGAAGTTGGTCGACCAAGGTGCATTGACTGCCCCTGCTCCTTAATCTGCGGGCGCCCTGTGAGGTCCTTTCCTCGCCTTCCCGATCCTTCAGCCTGGGCAATCGTATTCAGATTATCCACCACTGAATCCTCCTCCTCCTCCTCCTCCTGATCCTCCTGATCTTTCCTCGATCCTGATCCTTGTCCTCCTGATCGATATTCCTTGCTTTTCCTGCCACAGGCCCTGCAAACCCAAAGGCCCCCTCCTGCCAGCCAGACAAAAGCGTGTGCATGTGACTCGCCTCGCCGAGCATGACCGCGAGGCCGTCCTTCGAGCTGCCCGATGCCGACGCGGCACTCTGTCCATGATCCTTGCGGCGCGCGCGCTGCAGCGCGCGGCGCGCGCGCCAAGCGCGCTGCGCTACTCGCGCCACACTCGAGCTGCAGCACGCCGCGCGCACAGCATCAAGCACCCATATGGCACAAGGCTGCACCCAGGGGCAGGATATGAGACAGAGAACCGGAGCGGCGATCTGGACATGGATCGAGGGGACACGATTTAGGAGGGCATCGGGGGCGAGTGGGTGGATCGACAACAATGCGATGGGTCAAACGGGTATGATGTCCTGCTTGCCGCTTTCTTCCGAGTCCGAGTAGGAGTACTCCGAGTCGGAGCTCGACTTCTCAGCCTGCCCCCAGCATGAGTCGGATTGCATTGGGGTGAACGACGCAGCATCGCGCGAGCCAGACCAGTCTGCAACATCGAGGTTCTCTCAATCCTCTCCCCTCGGGCGGGTACGAATGCGATTGCGAGCATGTGAATGTCCGAGTTTCGCTGCCTCCGCAACTTTCACTTCTCGAGTTCCTGCCTGCACTCGCATCTGACCTTGACGCTCGATCTAGCTCCTCCTCCTGCCCCGCCCCCTACCTGCGTGCGCTTCAACGCCTGGGCCACAGGCTGCACTGGCTGCGCGTCGCCCTTGAGTGTGGTCTCGAGCTGCTGCGTGTGGCGGTGCATGTTCAGCTCCCGCTCAGTCAGCTTCTTGTAGACTTCTTCTCCGTGCTGGGGGCCCACCTGGCAGCAGGATTCGCATGGGCAGGAGGCGGAGCATATAATCAAGGAGGACTAGGATGGCAAAAATGGAGGCGCCGAAGGCTCGAGGAGTAGGAAGGGCAGCCAGAGGGTGATCTGAATTGGAGCTAGCCAAACAGCTCCATTCATACCACTCTCCCTTCGACCTGACTGCCCCTCCCCATCGGCCTGCGCACTTCCGCATGTGCCTTCCTTTTCGACTATCGTGTTCGATCCGTTTCCTCGTGTTGCTATCCTTGCTCGGTCATTTCGCTACCCGCTCTTAGCACGGTTGTGCTCCCCCTCCTTCACCATGCCCTCCCTCCTTCACCTTGTGCCCCCCATGTGGATAGGAAACACACGTGTATAATTATATGTTTGTATGTACATGTACACATGCATGCACACGCATGTACATACACATGCACTATACATATATAGATAGATAGATAGATAGATATGTGTGTGGAAAACGCCCGACCCACATCCTAAAACTCGCCAGTACGCTACGCAGGCACTTTGACACGGAATCGCCTCGCACGTTCAAGCAGGCCCACGACCCACGCCAGCACGCGCATGACAGCGATCGTGAACAACAGAATAGCATGTATACATGTGCTCAACGTCGGCATGCCACCTTAGTGCAGCCTCGAACTGCCTTGCAGGTCGCAATCACCGCCTCTGTTCGAGCCGTTGCCCTTGCAAAGAGGGCTGCGCGGGAATAAGAGGGATGGACAGCGCAGCGGGATGGGAGCTGGATCGGACGACATGTCGAATCACGTGCATACTAGACCGGCCTGCTGACAGTCACTAGATGAGTTCGAGGGGGCTCATCTTAGCAGGAGATTTGTGCCGATCGAGGTGCATTTGCTTTGTCGACTCTCGTGGTGGCCATAACCACCAACAAAGATAACCATCATCCCCACCGTCGTCGTTCTCGACGACATCTTCATCACCATCAGAACCAACACCATCATCACCATCATCACCATCATCAGCATCATCAGCACTGCCATCACCGCCATCATTCTCATCAACATCATCGTCATTTCGATCAGTATCATACTACCGTCAACCGCATCGCCGTCAACATCATCAGCATCGTCATCATCCTCATCATCCTCATCATTGTCACCATCATGAGCATCGTCATCGTCGTCATCCTCATCATCGTCCGCAACATCATTCTCGTCGTGTTCGCCATTTTGGCCATCATCGTCGTCCTATCGTCTCATCCTTCCTCATTCCCGCCATCCATACTACCCCTCATCCTCGTCATCCTCATCCTCCTCATCCTTGCCATCCTGCCCCATGTCGCAGTCCCCGCGTGTCCTCTGTGACATCGGCGACTCTGGGAACTCGTCCTTGTAGCCGTACTTCATGAGTAGCTCGTCCTTGGTAACGAACTCCGCGGATGTGCCTGCCTCGTTGATCTTCGCTTTCTTCTCCGTCTTCAAGTGCTCCACGAAGTCGAAGTCACCTGAGCAGATAAAAGATAGGCGAGGGCAAGGTGTTCGGATGCAGGGAAGGGAAGAAGTGGTAGGCAGGACCGAGCGTACAAATCCTCATTCCATGCGCAACAATATCGACCGATCGTCCAGGGGGCCATCGAGGAGATGAGGGAGGATATGCATGAATGGGCCGTCTTCCTCATCGATCGGTCATCGGTGCGTTGCGCCTCATCGCCTACCCACCACCCGCTAGCAGGGCTGACATTTCATTGCGCTTCCTCCCCCCGTGGGCGCCCGTCTCGTCCCACCACCGCGCCCACTCGTGTTTCTTCCTGTTCGAGAGCCTGCCGAGATCCTTCTTCAAGTCCTTCTTCTTGGTCTCGATGTGGTACCGTATGGGCGGCGGCATGGTACGTAAATGCGCAGTTCGTATAAACGTACCAGTGTATCATGCGGGCGTGTTGTTTACGTATGCGTAAATGCAAATACTTCATAAACGTACATGAGTACAAACATATGGCTATACATATTACATGCTTGTGTTTATGTAGGTGTATATATATATACACACATCTACATGTACGTGTGTGTACAATCGTGTGCATACATATTTATGGTCATCTTGTACATGTCTATATACATGCATGTATACACATGGAATAGATATGGGGCGAAACGTAGAACCACCATCCACCCTCGAGCTGCCGATCGAAGAGTGCAAGCATGACGCCTCCTCATCCCGCAATCCCGCTGCAATGCTGCCGTTCCCTGGCCCCTGCTGCATTTGGATGCCACGTCGGTACCGCAAGCGCTGCAATGCGTTCTCGTGCTCGCTGTTCTCCTTGCGAGCGACCTTCTTGTTCTTCTTGTGCCCGCCCTGTATATGGGACAGGCGTGCGCGGGCGAGGGCGGGGGCGAGGTCTCACGAGGCGCGCGGGCCCCCGCGTGCGCCCTGTGGGATCTCGACCAGTTCGGTGCGTTGACAGTTTGAAGACATGCGCCTTCGGCTTGGCCTTCCCTTTGGGCGGCATGGCGCCCCGATCGCGCGATCACCTCCGGATGCCCATGCGGGCTGCACGCGCGCGGTGGATTGGACCACTCGAGAGCGCGGAAAGCAAGGGGGTAGGTGGAGGAGGGTTAGGGTTCAGCGCAGCAGGCGAGTGGAGCAACGGGCCGGAGCGACGGGTCAGGGGTGGGTCCGCGTCGTTACGGGCTGCTAGAGCAGGGTGCGATGGCGGGACGCTCTGGAAGGCCTCCTATCGATCGTCGGGCAGGGGGTCGGGAGGAGCAGGGTGGGTGGGATGGGGCACACTGCGCATCGGGCCGCCGCCCCGACGCGGTGGGCGAGGCGCAGGGGGGGGGGAGGGAGGGTGGCGGGTTTTTTTTTCTCGCACATGCCGCGCACATGCCCACACGGTGCACGCCACCCTTTTTTCCGAACGCACCCACATAGCGGGAACATGAAAGAACATGAAAGAACATGAAAGAACATGAAAAAGGAACATGAAAGAACATGAAAGAACATGAAGAACATGAAAGAACATGAAAGAACATGAAAAAAGAACATGAAAGAACATGAAAGAACATGAAAGAACATGAAGAACATGAAAGAACATGAAAGAACATGAAGGAACATGAAAGAACATGAAGAACATGAAAGAACATGAAATAACATGAAAAAATAACATGAAAGAACATGAAAGAACATGAAGAACATGAAAGAACATGAAATAACATGAAAAAAGGAACATGAAAGAACATGAAAGAACATGAAGAACATGAAATAACATGAAATAACATGAAAGCACATGAAAGAACATGAAGAACATGAAAGAACATGAAAGAACATGAAAACGGAACATGAAAGAACATGAAGAACATGAACGAACATGAAATAACATGAAGAACATGAAAGAACATGAAAGAACATGAAAGAACATGAAGAACATGAAAGAACATGAAAGAACATGAAAGAATATGGAAGAACATGAAACAACATGAAAATTGAACATGAAAGAACATGAAAGAACATGAAGAACATGAAATAACATGAAGAACATGAAAGAACATGAAGAACACGAAAGAACATGAAAGAACATGAAAGAACATGAAATAACATGAAAGCACATGAAAGAACATGAAAGAACATGAAACAGGAACATGAAAGAACATGAAAGAACATGAAAGAACATGAAAGAACATGAAAGAACATGAACACCACGCGACGCCACGCACATCACCTCACACCACACAACCACACCAAAAAAGATACACCCCACCAAACAACGTTCGAGCAGGCAGCGAACGCAGCGTTTCCAGCACCACCGCAGCAGGACCAGCGTCCACAGCAACCTCAGAGCCAGCACCTGTGCAACCACGTCCACCACACTTTTTTCGCTTCTCTGTGCACGTAGTCTGCCTCCAGTAGTCCGCCTCCAGTAGTGAGTGAGAAGATGTATATAAAAAAATAAAAAAAAGCCCATATGGTGCTCGATGCACCTGGGCGGCGCGGGGGGGCGGGCGCGGATGCAGTGCAATCTGGGCGACAGCGCGGCGTGAGTGCGAGCACGGGCCCATCTGACCCATATGTGAGCAGTGGCATACCAGGTTGGCCCCCCTGGGGCAGGCCAGCCTGGACCCAGGACTCCACGCGGGGCCCTTCAGGGCCCCGCGCGTGGAGTCTTGCGCATTATACGCAGGGCCCTGCGGGCCCAAACTTATATGTTGGGCTAGTTGCTCGCTCACACGCGCGCGCTGACCCCCACCCCTCCCCTCCCTGTTCACCTGGCTGTGGACCAGCCCGCGGCCCTCGGAGTCTCGAGCGCGTCCGCTAGGTGGCTAGCGTCGATGCACCAAATGAGCTGAGGAGCGGAGGGTGAGGGTGCACGCTGGCGATATCGGGGTGGGTAGGCATATAGATCGAGGAGTAGGCGTGCTATTGAATCGGGCGGGAAGGGGCGGAAAGGAAGAGGGAGGACGGAAAAGTGGGGAAGGGGAAGAGTGATGCTATACAAGTGCGGGGGCGTGGCAGATATATACATTGATTAGTACATGTATGTATTCAAACATATGTCTATGTGTATTGATATGGGTATATATACATGAGCACGTGGGGCTCATTGCCCATCAGAGTGGCACGGGCGGGGGGTTGGAGGAGACCAGAATTGTCAGCTCAAGAATGCGAGGAAGCACATCCCGTCCAGACATCAAGCTGCTGCATGGTTCCACTGCAACCTGCCATCGACCGAAATCCCTTTTCACAACCCGCAAGCGATGTGCGCCACGCGGCGCCGACCAGCTCCGTGCATTGTCCTGCCCATCACTCGAGTGGGTCAGCATCGATGGGAGCTGAGCTGAACTACATGCCTGAGGCACCCTGCAGTCGATCGATGCACGCATGGGCTAGCTCGCCTTCAAGGCATTCGGGGACACGAGCCAGGAGCGTTGGTGAATCAGGTGAGGTATACACCAACATCGGAAGTGCGTGCACACATATACACATACGTATTGTATACACACGCACGCGTACACAA